TAGAGAGTGAAGAAGAATTGATTTGACTAGGTGCTTTGTTCAAGTTAAATACTGTCTGTAAAACGGTTCTGGCGCACAGCGCACGGCATTGTCTGACAGAGCTTCGGGCAGTCTTGCTCAGAAGTGGCGTTTGAGAGAAGGTGTGTTGGCACTCGGCAACACCCGCGGGAAGGGCAGAGTCTGGGCAGCGTTGCTGTAGCCGGAGTGTTTTGAACTGCCCCGCGGTAGTGTAGTGATGTTTGGAGGGCTGAATTTTGCTTGGCTGAGAAAGCAGGTGTTCATACAAATACATGCAAGACGCTTTCCTAGAGAAACCTGACACTAACTTTTATATAATACCTGATTTAACTTCTTACTGCAGGAACAAAAATCGCAATGAATTCATTGCATGAAGTGATTACCTTGAATGCTAACGTCTTTGTCTTCCTTCCTTTTGAGGGCTGTACTTGTCCTGTTCAGTGGGACACAGTTGCTAGACTGCAATGCAAGTTAACTTCATTTCCAACAGTTGCAATAGTGTCGTGGTGCTGCCGTCGAGCACTACAGTCCTGTGGTTGTGTTTTGTCAGAATTTTTGACAATCTACTTTCATAGAGGGAAGATTTAAGGGCTTAAATTCTAGTACTGCAGAATAAAGAAAGTATTTTATAACTCACTCGAGTGTCAGCTTTTAAAATGAGCCAGTGTCGAGTAATATTTCCAAAAATAGACTCTACAACATTTATTCTAACTTCCTTTGCACCAGTGTAACGTGATGGACTTACCCGGATTGCACTGAAAGCAAAATGAGATCCTAGCATCTTTCAGACTCCAAAACGGTAAATACCTGGTCTATGCATATTGATATTTCTCCAGTTCTCATGGCACTTGTAAATCAGAGTTTACAGGACTTGTTTCAGTGCGGCATTCTGGATTCATCATGTCTTGTCTTGTGTGTATTGATATTACTGTACAGTTTGGACTTTTCTCAGTCTTTTATCGCCACGCAGGGACGTGTTCTGCATTTGTCGGTGGGTTTTATTATTATTATTTCCCCCTCCCCCCAGTTAAGTACGACAGGCTTCCTTCTCTCCAAACTTTGAATGAGACCATTCCTTGGACGACAGAAGTGGAATGGCTTTTCTTCTGAGAGAGAAAAATGTATACAGCAGATATTTATAAAACTGTACATGAATGCATGATTTAATGTAGTTAAATATTAATATGGTGAGTGCCAAGACTTTTCTAAGGAGCGTTATTATGTGATTCAAAGCGGAGGCGAACACGTGTTCCCTTTTGCACAGAGCACTGGGGTTTGAATGGCGTTCGGTGACTCGCGGTACCTCAGGGCAGCAGCAGCAGTGCCTGGAGATAGAGGTGCAGTGGCATTGTAACCTCCGTCGTGTCCTAGCACGGCTTGGAGACACGGGACTCTGTTCCTTTCAGAAAAATCTGCTTAGGTGTGCATCGCTTGAAACGTTGCCTTTCACACTTGGTAGTTCCAGAACATTATTCATGGGTTGTATTTTGTATATAGCCACAGGGAACCTTCGTGCCATTTTTCTAGCTGCTACCACTCTGCAGACCTCCCTGGCTTCCTTCGGCTCGATAGGAGCTACCAGACATAGGAATTTGCCACAGAGATAATGAATAAGTATCTTAAAGTGATATTATGCCTGTGCTTTTTCTAGAATGATAAAGAGCTAATGAAGGTGATAGGAGGCGGTTGCTGTAGGTGATAGCACAAGCACAGTGGGATATACATGCATCGAGCCTTATTTAGAAGCGTACTGTTCCCTTTGGTGTGACCGTAGGCCGCCACGTGAACTTGGCAGGTGGAAGGAGCCGATGGTAAAGCCCTTCCTTCCAATGAAAAGAGTTCTCTTTCTGGAAGTCGGTCTTTGTAGTTATTGAAAGGTTTATTTTTTGGCCTAACAGCAAGAGCCTTAATACTTAACCCTGAAACGTACCTAAGCATGCCTCCGGGCCGTTCCGTGTGCAGAATCCCTTGTGCCCTGCTCTGCCTGGTGAACAGCCCAAAATACAGATGCCGAGCAGCTTTTGCTGCGTGGTGCACGTTTGCCCCTCGGCCTGCCAGCTCCTGCGCGGTGTTTCCAAAGGGGAGTTGTTGGTGCTGTGAGAGCTCCTGCTGTCGGGAAGTACCCAGAGAGAGCAGAGCTGACATGGCTGAAAGCCAGACCAGGCCGGTGCGTACGGGGAGGATCTGTTAGCAGACGCGATGGCAGTGGTTGCTATTGAACAGCTCGGTAACTGACGGAGTAGCTGTCGCCTTCCTCCGTGAGAGTGGTGACCTACAGGAGATACTGTGTGCGTGTGGGGAGCGTGGCTCTCGGCAGACCAAGCGTGTGAAGCGAGGCTCTGTTGTCGTGACTCTCTAGTGCTTACAAGGAGATAAGGAATTGTTTGACTCTTACGCTTTCCCTCTGATGTTTTTTTGCCTGATCATGATACCTGTGGTGTCTGAGCTGCTGTAGGGATGGTTTCAAATTAAAATGGAAGCAATTTTGTGCTTTAAAAATGAAAACATGCATCAGTAATGTTAGTGTGTGGGAGATACTTGCATGTACAATGGTCTGACCTCTGGACCACAAAGCCTGGTGTGTTTTTTCTTGTGTGGATTTACTTTACAAATCTGGTGCTGTGTCAGCTCCACCTTTTGCAGGGGAGTATTGAGTCCTTTCCAGATACACTGAACTTGGACTTGCAATCAGCTGTAAAGACCATTAAGATGCTTCTGGCTGCCGACTTTGACAGGCTGTTTGTTGTTTCGGCTACACGTGCTACATAGGAAAGTACATGGTTTCATTTGTGAACTTGGAAGTGTTGCTGTAAAGCTGGATCCTTAGTGCTAAAGGCTTCTGACTGTTTTGTAAATACATTAATGCAAATTGAAAAAAAATAAAAGAGAAAGAAAAATGTTTAGGGACAACAGTATTATTATCCATGGAATATTGCAAGTCCCTCAGCTTTCTGTCTCTGACGGGGGTACAGAGTGAAAGCTGCTGTGCTGTTGTTTTGTTTCCGATACGGAAACTGGCTCATCTCTGGTCCCCCCCCGCCCGCGCCGGTCTCCGAGCCGGCCGCGTGCTGGAGGGCTGCGCTCAGCCGAATCGTTCTTCAACCAATTGAATGACCAAAGCATTTGGACCACACGGTGGTTTGCTCTTCTTTCAAAATTACTTCCTCAGTTTCAGTAATGACTAAAGATACTCGCTTATCTTCAAGTGGATGGTTTTCATCCCGTTTAAATTTGTGCCTTGTACCCTCCCCTCCCCTTTCTTAGGGAGAAAGGACAGCTCGTGTGTCGCACCTACCCGAGTTTCTCCGAGCAGCGCCGAGGCCCATCTCGGGCTGCGGCAGTAGTGCTGTAACCAAGGCTGAAAGGTGGCAGGCTGGACCGCAGCGGTTCTGTGACCCTGCGTTCTGCTGGGGGCCGCTCACACGCAGCCGTACCGCGTTCTGGAGATGTCCCTATTGTCCCTGCTTACCAGGGCAGCAGGACCTGTGCTTGGCTTTGAAAGACGATGCGTAATGCTTTGGCCTTCCCCGACGTACCCTGGCTTTCCCCGCTCCTGCAGAGTCAGGACAGGACGATCCCTTCTTCTTTGAGTAGTGCTAGGCAAGTTCTCACTCTAGCGTAGATCCGACCTCTGAAGGCAAGCTCTGGTACGAAACGCGAGCAGGGTGCTGAGATGAGGCATCGTCTGCAGCGGTGTTACTGAGCTAGAGCTTTGGCACGATTGGGGTGGCTCGGGAAGGCAGGAGTTTGGTGGGAGAACTGGGATGCTGCCTCGGGCTGGGTGTGCAGCTTGGCTGCAGTTCTGGCATAGCCGATCTCACGTCGACTACCCCATCTTCCTCCCTGCTTTCACTTAATGGCTCACGCTTCGAAAGAGAAAATCGCGTGAAGCAATGTTGGAGGGGTCGAGTGCGAAACAGCAAACCGAGCACCTTCATTGCATGCATATCTGCTTTGTTGTAACGACGTTAAGGAGTAGTCAAGACAAAACCAGACGCCGATGTGAAGCCAACTTGGAGAGGACGCTAGACCCTGTGCTGCAGTATTTATCTGAATCGAAATTCTGAATGTTTACCTCAGTGTAAATATCTTAACCTTTCCCGTGGGAGGAAAGGCGTATCGCATGGAGCAATCGCTATCCCCATCGCTTTGCCAAACACGTCATCCTCTCTAAGACAGGCTTCGCATCGGTATGAGCACTGTCCCTCTTTGGACCCTTACCTTTCTAGGATGTGAATGGTAAAAATGTGAATATTTGTTGTTTACTTCATTAGGCATAATTCATAATGATGTGTTTATATGAAGAATATCACAGACTGAAGCAAAACCATATGCAATTGGTTTACTTTATTATAAACTGTATATGATGTACAAACTAATAAAAACTTAAATGACGACAGTCTCACTGTTGTTCTTGAACAGGCAAATAAACAAGCTATTCCAGCTGTGCGTTTCAGTGCTGGATGTGATCTGGAGCATTGGGCTGTTCCCAGGGCACCGGAGGGAGAGGGGGGCGGCGTGCTCCTGTGCTCCCACAGGAGCTGTCCTGGGCAGACGCTGGTAAATGCGTTTTTAAAGGTTTGACGGAACAAACCCGTGTGAGATTTCAGTTAGGAAAGGCCCAAGCTGAGTATCGGGCACTCGCCCCTCTGCCGCTGCAGAAGCGAGCAAGGGTTTCTCTGTTGAAGGGAAGGGAGGATTACAGGCGCGATGACATTTTTTAATGTCGTAATGAGAATTTATCGTCATCCATCTTTCTGAAACAGCAGGAAGTATTTTGCTTTGTTGGTAAACCTGCGGAGCGTTTACCGGATCAGCCCCAACGCTCTCCTTGCTTCTGTTTTAAGCACTCTGAGGAGAAACGCTGATTGCACAGGCAGCGCTGGGCTTCCCAAGCAACAGTTGCAGTGCGCGCCCAGCTACAGGTAAGCTCTGCCCACACCCAGCTCCTTCACAGCCACGAGCCCAGCACACACTTCTCAAACACAGTAAGTATTTACATATATTAATACGGGATTAATTTCACTATGCAGTTCACCAAACACTGAGCCATAGCGTGAGTTTAAGCTGTTGCCCTGACCTGAATCCATTAGTTGAGCTTTGTGTAACAGTAAAGTAGTGACCACGTATCCACTGACCAACTGGCAGACGGTCTGGCTAAGAGCAAAACCAAGTTTCAATAAAACAGACTTAATAACAGAAGTGCTTGATCATTAACTATTTTTTCCAGCCAATGGTTTAGGTTTGAGCAGACTTAAGTTATGCAGTTACGATACCTCCACTTACTTCCTAAATTACAATGTTACTGCCATCCTAGCTTTTAACATTCAAGTGCATTAGAGAAAAGTAGTAAAATCTTGCATGAAGTACAGTTCTATACTTCAGACATGATTTTAGTTTCTGTAAAATAAGATGGAAAAGATGTTAGTTCATCTCTTCCACTCCCTGCCAAGGCAGGATTGTTCCCTACAGGACAAGGACACGGGACGGGGCTTCGTCCGGCCCACTCTGACTTGTGAAGTGAAGTGACTGGAGCCACGCTACAGGAACTGAACGCCTCTCCTGGTATTTCACTTGTTTCCCTTTCTGTGATGGGTTTTTTTTTTAAGTCCATGATAGCTCTTTAAGACATCACCTGGCAACGTACTTTCCTTCTGTCCGCTCCCCAGCATGTGTCTTCCCGGCAGTGAAGGAAGCCTGCACATGCAAACACGAATTGGGGTAGAGCGTGGCTGGCTGGCCACGGGGCTGCAGGACCGACCTCTGATCGAGGCTGTTAGATACCCCGCTGCCCTCTGCAAGTTCTCTTCTTGTGGCTAAACGATTAGTAACTGCCACGCTTGACAGAAACGATCCACAATTGGGTCTTGCCGGTTTTGACCCGGTAATTCAGCTACCAGAATGACTGATGTCAGTGTGGGAGAAGGGGAGAGACGTTACGCAGTTCACTTCACTTGGCTTCAGACCAGTTATGTACAGGCTGTGGTCTGCCACTGCTTATAGTGCTGACGTGTAAAGATCTAACGATTGTGGTTCATAGGGAAGTTTATAAAAGACCATAGGAGATCTTCCTCCGAGGAAGAAAACAAGCAGACCACCACGGCTAGTTCTCTCCAAAACTCCTCCTTTAAAACGCACTCAGCAGCACTTCAGTTATTGACATCAGTTATGTGACAGTTTTCCTTTGTCAGTCAAGAGTTGCTTGTTTTCTTCCTTGTTCTGAGGCCAATAAACTCTCTCCCCAGAGAGGCTTTACACTGGGGTTGGCAAAAGGGCTTACTTTAGTAAAGGTAGAATTATTTCTCTTTACACTTTTAAAGGTTACAGGAGTTACTTGCCTTTTAAAAACAAACAAACAAGCTACTCTGCCCGTGCTCCTAGATGATGGTGCAGGAACTAAAAGCGGAGCCCCGTTTGTTGGTGCTCTGCGTTGGCACGAGTTTTCCTTTTCCATAGTAACCTGAGAATATCGCCTTCACATCGATCTTTTTAGAAAGGGTGAGCATCCACATACCATTATCAAAATACAGCAGTTTCCCTCCTCCAATTTCCCCCACTTCATCCCCCTTGTTCCCTGCCTTTTCCAGTTTCACAAACTCCAGCAGGTCGAGCCCGGTCTGGACTGCTTCGACGCCGTTGGCGCAGCCGAGGGTGATGTGAGCCCGGCTGCCTTTTGGGAGGTTGTCGGTGGGCAGGATCTTGTCGGCGTCTCCAGGCCACAGCAGCAGCTGCTGTTCGCTCAGCTCTACACGAGCACCAACAGTTTTTGTTGTGATGAACAGAGCAGAAATGGACAAGGTGAAGCCTTTGCCGTAGGAAGCCTTCACAGCCTGGGGGAAGAGGGAGACAAGGCGAGAACACGGCTTTAGCTGACTGCAGACAGGTGGGACTTGCAGCAGTGTGGTTGGCTTTATCGTCCACAAGCTCGGGGTCTTGGCTGATCACGGTAGCTCTTGCTTTGACATATTTGAAATACTGTGTGCAGCTAGAAGACCATGGCCTGAAGTTCCTGCTCCGTGAATTTGGAGCTGGTTACATCTTTTTCCCTTCGCAAATTCCACTATTTAACTTGGGCTCATCTGCTTTGAAATGATTTAGCTGGAAGTGTAAATACCTTAATTCATCATCATTCAAATCAAGCTCTTGGAGATGATGCTGGAAGTCGGGGGGGATGGGGTAGGAGTATTTTGTTTGAAAACTAACAGGAAATAGTCACCATCTCTCCCACAATTGGGACTTTTCTACTGCCCAGGCCACGTGGACGTACTTAGCGTCCCTACGTTCGGCCTCTCTGCTCCAAGCAAAGCAGTGTCCCCAGCCCACCCCGAGAGGCTTGTGGATCCCCTGCTGGGAAGGGGGAGGGAGAGTGGGGTCGTGGGGAGGAGTCGGAGCCCTGGTACTCACTTCTTGCTGTGCGTATTCCTCAGCTCCAGCTGCTTTTCCAAACTCTGTGTATTTTGTGGTGCAGTGTAAGACCCCGGGCGGCCTCTTCACAAAGTAGCTGGTGAGATCTATTTTTATTTTGGGATCTTCAATAGCAGAAGCAACTGCAAATACAGAGAAACAATATTATTGTCAAAAAATGATCCCCCTGATGTCACCCCATGAGCCTAAGTCCCGTCTCAGCTTTCTTCACCAACCCGTCCTTCATGTTTCATCTTTCTTACTGCTGAAGAGCACTAGATGGGTAAGTAGAACTCCCTCCTTCCACCGAGGCTAACGGTGGATGTAATAGAAAACAGGAACCTCTGCGCATCATCATGGCTCGTCTTAGCCTTGATGTTGTACGAACCCCTTAAGGGACAAGACTGTTCAGTCTCTCCCTTTTCTCCCTGACTCTGCAGCAACCAGGGGATGCCCAGCCACCTGATGTAACGCTGCTGCCATCCAAGCCCAGCTCCCTCCAGTCACAGCTAAACAGACTTCTTAGGAAAAACTGTTTCGTTTATTTTTACTTACAACAGCAACTTTGTCAACTACGGGAAACAATTAGTAGCTTTAAACAGTTTTTCTTGTTGCTAACTTTAACTAGAAATCCACTTCAGAAGCTGACCAAACTTGTTGCATTTACTGAGTGTTAACTTTTCATCAACAGAGTAAGAACTTGGTAAGATACTTCTATACATACAGTATTTACTCTCCTTTTTGAAGGCTTTGAGACTTCCAAGCTCATCTAAGAAGGCCTGGCCAGCCTTCCTCAGGATCTCTGAACTTCTTTTGCTCAAAAACCACCCAAAATACATGGGTAGGAATTCCTTCTCCAAGCTCGGCTTCATCTTCTTCAGCTCTTCCGCTGACAGTTTCCATTGATTCTTTTCCTTCAGCTGCAAGCAATCCATTCGCCAGTGGGTTTTGGGCTCAGCAAAGATGACTTTGTACCGGTATTTGTCAGCAATATCAAAGAGTTGGTCCAGTCGTTCCCTCTCATGGTGAGTGTCATCCAAAACGATAACGCTGGTGTCTCGTTTGCAATAGTCAACTAGATCCTCGTCCACCTTTGAATACTCTTCAGGAATGGCGCTTCTTATCGAAGGTGTGATTTTATAGCTATCAACAGAGATGACCTTGCAGGCATCTTTATACCTATCTTGAATAGCCTGGGCAAGGGTGGACTTCCCACTGCCAGGCAGGCCTCTTAAAATAAAAAAGGTTTTAGATTCTTTGACTGTGGAGATGGTATCTTCATCGTCAAGGAAAGGGAACTGCAAGCTTTCGGGTCTTTCTTTCGCTGATTGAGTAGACATTTTTCTAAATATTTTAGGCAGGAATGTATGACTTTTCTTTGAGAAGCCTCTGTTCTGAAATGCAAGAAGAAAATATTTTGCAGGCTAGCAACCCCAAGAGAGCGCGTGTTCCGACTGCACAAGCACACGCTGTTGAGAACCTTTACTGGGAGGAGGGGGGCGCCGGGAACATCGCTGCCCGCACGTCCCCTAACCTCACGCCTCCCCCCCCGCCCCCTACCCTCAGCGCCCCTGCTTGGCTTAACCCGCCTCTCACAGCTACCCCAGCTGGTCCCGCAGCAGGGACCCGTGCCCTGTCCCACCACCACCCCCCAGCACCAGCCCCGGCCGTCTGACCTGCAGAGCTGAAGGTGCGGCTCCGGCCTCGGCAGCTGCGGTCCTGCCTGACCAGGAAGGGGAAGTTTTACCCGTCACGTGGCAGCAGCTGCAGTTTCACAGGCACCACGAGCTGCCACAAAGCTACAGCCCGGGCAGAGCACGTCAAGTGTCAGATGTGTTTCTGAACGCTTAACGGAACACTTGTGGCTACTAGATAACAAGGGTGCAGCACGCTGTGGGGAACTGCCCCTGAAAACGGGAAACGAAAGTCCCAGCAGGTTGTGACAGCTGCTGCCATCTCATCGCTTCGTCTGAATAAAGGCGACTGCAAAGGGATTTAAGTCTGTTGAGGGATCCTCCGTCCCCACAGGAAAGGCTGTTTCTGAGTGAAGTCTGCGAGGATGCCGCCTCTCGCATTAAGAGCTGCCATTTCTTCATGCTGTACTGAAGATCAGCACCCCGAATGCCTCAGAGGAGGGAATTGGGGCTCCTCTTGTGATGGAAGAGCAACTGAAATTGCTTCCAGTAAAGACAACCCCCCTCCCCGCAGCTGCTGAGCTGAACACGAAAGTGAAACCAGCCCTCCGAGCACCGAAAGAAATGCTCGCGTTTGGCAGCAGCAAGAGAGCCGGGAAGAGCGCTGCTGGGGAGCTGGCACTGGCTCTCCCTCCCCTCCTGCCAGCAGCTCCGGTAACTGGAATCCCAGATTAGTTCCCAGCAGGGCCTGGGAAAACACGGGACTGGAAGGAAACGAGGGCCTTCTCCAACCGTGTGAGTTTTCAACACCATCAGTGGGGCAGCCGCTGGTTTTTGGGTCAATATGCGAACTCTCCACCTTCCCTCCCCGGCCGTGTCCTCGCCCAGCCCGTGACCAGCACCTGCTCTGGGGCTGGACGCTGCGCCAGCAGCCACGGGAGCGATGCTGAAGAAGTTTTGCCTTTGACGCAAAAATCGAGGGGTTTTATATAATGCATAAATGCTCTGCCCATAGCACAAAAATAAAGCTTTCCTGTTTGCAGGGCCAAGACGTTGTTTAAAAAGCAACTATTCAGTTGATTAACTTTTCTATCCCTTATTCCAGAATTTGGTGGTGGGTTTTGGTTCCAAAGCGCCCTGGGACCAGGACCCCCACTGCTTCAATGGACGTGTCGGGCAG